GAGTTGATAAAACTGAGGGATGAAAGAGATCATATACTAAATCGCAAGATATCAATAGATAGGGATATAGAAATAGGAGACAGCATATGGTATAAAACTTTTAAGGATAATAATTGGGAAAAAGGTACAATAATGCGCAAAAACGGAAATTTGTTGTATGAGATAGATACTGGGAACAAAATTATAAAAAGACACTTGGACCAAATAAAAAAAAGATCAACTAATGTTGAACCTTCTTCTAATGGTGCAACAGTTTTTAAAGCGAATGTTAATAATAATGCATCACCTTATACATTGAATTTTAGAAGGGGAGGTGATGAACCAAGAAACCAAAATGTACAAGTGAATGATCAGAATCGCAACGTTCAAAGACCAGTTAGAAATAGTGTGTTTCCTAGAGAATTTGAAAATTTTATAATGAATTAAATTTGATAATAAATTTTTTTTTTCTCTCCTTATATTAAAACAAAATTAGTTTTTTTTGTGTGTGGAACTAAATTGATAAAACATACAACAAAAAAAAAGATCAACGAAGGGGTTAACGAGCAAGAATGACAAACGACAAAAATTATAGACAGAGGGTAAATAAGAAATAAAAAATAAAGTGTGAAATGTTAAACAGTGACACTCATGTATTTTATCTTAACTTTAAAAAATTGTTTTTTTTTACATCCTTAAGCTATTTATGGCGTAACTTAAAATATTTCAAATGTAATAAGAATTGTTTCTTTCTTTTTGTTAAAAACAACTTTTATATTTTAAAAAATCAATTTGCTTATAAACTAATATTAAATTTTATATTTTATAAATCAATTTACTTAAAAAACGAATGTTCAATTTTATATTTTAACTTTAAAAAGATCAATTTATTATAAACTACATTAAATTAAATTGTCAATATATATAGGAAACTATTTTAAGTTATGTGATAATTATATTTTTAAAATTTAAATATCAATAAATTGACCTAAAAATTATATTCTTGAAGTCTGCACCATTAGAAATCTTTAGAAATTTCAGATGGAAAGGTTTTTTTTAAGAAGAAAGTATGTAGTTGGTTAAAGTTGGGAAAATTTATAATTATCCTGTTAATACGCTGAAATCGATTTTAATTAGATGTTAAATAAAATGTAAACATAAGCAGAATGAACACACTAACATTACATAAAATAATTTGTTTATTAAATAATATTCAACATAGTATAAATTAAATTGATAGTAAAAAGTTTGGTAATGACTTTACTTAATATTTATATCCATAAAAATAAAATCTCGAAACACGCAAATGTAAGGTAAAACATCATATCCTTTCATTTAATATTAATTAATTAGGAAAATTAATAAAATACATGAAGAAAATAATAACACATTCTTTCTCAACATCATTTAAAATCAAAATATAAATTCATCAATGTAATTAGTATAAACTACCTAAATCAAAAGCAAGCCTGTTGATTGATTTGCTGGGTAACTATTATAAATGGCAATAGATAAATGTAAATATAATATAATATAAATACACGATACGCCCAAATTTTACAGTAATACCATTTCAAAAAAAAAATAATATTATTATTACATAATATTCAAAAAAAATCTATTTTAATTGTTCATTTTGAGTCAGAGTTCAACGGCCACCATAATCTCATACGTATTCTGGCATTCGATTATTTCATGGCAAATCAGAAGTTTTATGAAGCATTTATGATTTATTTTTTTATTAAAGGACGGACATTTTCCTAAATATATCGTACAAATATTAAAGCAAAGGTTTGATTCAGTGGCGTAGCTACGGGGGTGGTTTTCGTGTTTGGACCCCTCCCAGAGCAAATTTTTTTTTAGATTATACGTTCAAAAAACTTAAAAGTGATTTTATATCAATTATATTACTATTGAAATTATTCTGGATAGTATTATTATAAAGTCATTGAATCTACTAAATTATAATAACATATTAATGATGCATTTAAAAAATATATTTATTATATATTATAGAAGATATGGTTATGATTTGTAAGATAAATCCGATTGAAGGCCGGGCAAAAGGGCCGAAGGCCCGTTAGAGGGGCCCCCCAGCTTATGTATGGACCCCCTCTAAGGAAAATTCCTAGCTACGCCACTGGTTTGATGTAATATAAAAATATCAAGTTAGAGGGAGATTTGATATAACATCATAAAAAATATCAAGTCAGGGGAAATGCAATTTTATTCAGCAAGGGGACATATTTCATAAAGAAAAATACAATTTTCATGAAAGAAAAAACAATAAGATAGGAGAATATTGATAACATAACTGTTAGAAGGGGAATACATTTAAATCTTCACATCTCATCATTATAAAACAATATATTTGTGGAATAAAGTGCCAGCCTCATTTGATACTAAAAGTTTTTTAAATTTAATTCGACATCGATCATCAAAAAACATAGCAATTATTCGCTATCCAAAATTTGCTAACGTTATTTAAGCGTTAATTAATGGACAATCAACATGTCACTCCTTTTAAAAGTCCCCTTTTGTCTATTTGATTTACCAATAAACCGATTTGAGAAATTTTTAAATCAATTTAGATGTCACAGACATATTGATTTCTTTAAGCACGATATTTTTCCTCAATTAATTTGTATTTGTATCCAAAAATTTGTTATAATATTACCACAATATTATATCACCTCTACAATTTTAGATATTTCAAAAATAATCTGACAAATTATTTAATTTTAAAACATTTTTCACTAGTGCTTAAAATTTTTTACAATTTATATTCTTGGGAAATATTTATAAGAAATCCCCAATTTGAACTAGAACCCACATTTCTATAAAATTTAAACGTATCTATTGTTTTTAAATATCAAAATTCTCAATTTCTCCACAGTGATAATTAAAAACATTTCAAAATAATAATATAATTAAATAGCTCTTTATAAAAATCTCTAGTTCATTACAATGACAATATCAGCATTCTACAATTCATATAAAAATCTCTAATTTACTCAAGAAATCACATTCCAATTAAATTTAAAATTATATTTTTTAAAATAATTATTATCTACGTTAAAATTTACATTATAAATCACATTTCTATTAAAGTTTAAAGTATGCATTTTTTTGTAGGGCCAAATTCTCAATTTCACCCCAGTGAAAATTAAAAACTTTCAAACATAATTTAATTACGGTAAAAATCAAACTTTTCAACCTTAAATAACCTCAATTTTATTACAATGACAATAAAAATTTATAACATTTCTCAACACTTTTAAAATCATCAACTACTGAATCTTTACCAAAATTTAAAATTTTTTTTGTTATCAAAATGACAATAAAATTTTCCAACGATACTTATTGGATTTAAAATTCAGTTTGCAACGATTATCCACATGACAATATTATTTTTATAATAATTATCCAATTAATATTCAATGAAATTAACATTCCATTTATAATTTTCATTTCAATGATAATAGATTTTTTAAACATTTCTCAATCTTATTCAGGTTAAAACTTCCAATTAAATTTATTCATAATTATTACATATCGATGACAATAAAGTTTTTAACCATTTCCCAATCAAAACCATATTCAGTAGTGTTGTTAAATAGCCCGATTTAGGTCGATTTTAAAAAACGAGAAGATTAAGATTAAAACCAAAATAACATTAAATAAGCCTAAAGATTTTGCTCATAGCTGGCAGAAATGCTTGGTCATCTATTGTCCAAATCTCGATGCTTACATAATATTATTTTAGCTAAAATCTGAATCATACCATTTTAAAAAATCGACTCAAATCGGGGTTTTAACAACACTAATATTCAGATTAAAATTCCAAATGAATTTTTAATATTTAAACAGGTCACGGGTTAATTTTTATTATTTCTAAGTTTGTTTAAAAAAAAAGATTAATATTCGCAACTTTAAAATTTACGCATTCATTTTGTTCAAATATTTTTAATTATTAGTTATATAACATTAACATTGCGTTGTAATGATATTTATTCAAACATTAATATATAAATTTATTATTTATACCTTAATATCATAATTTTATAAGTATAGAAAAATGAATATTTATGGTCCTGGTAGGTTATCAATCGTAATTCGTTAGTTTTTAAGCGCATCGCCTATTCACGTTGAAATTTAATTTTTACTGAATTAAAGTTGCGTAGGTTTATGTTCGTGTGAGAGCTTAGTTTTGAAATACATTTTGTTTTATATAGGTATTCTAAAAATTTAACATAACATTTTATGAATCAAATATTCTAAATGACTGAAATTTAATATTAAATTGTATGTTCTTTCAAAATAAATATATTACTTTTATCAATTGTTTAAATTCAAATAAAATTATTGAGATATTAAAAGTTTATGTTCAGTTTTGTCAAAAGTAAATCTTAAGTATATATCTTTATCAAGATTCATAACGCCTTTTACTGTATATTACAGATTAGTAACAAATTGTGCTTACTTTGTCAATTTACGTATTATATTATTATATTACCTTTTCATTTTATTATTACTTGTACTTACCAAATCAATTTATATTACTTTTTTACAAAATGTTTACTTGAGGCAGTAAATTAATACCGATATATATAAATATCGTGTAAAGAGATAATAGTTTATTTTAATTTTTAATCTTAATAAAGAAAAATCATATTATTTTTAGTTTTATAAGATATTTATTCCATATCAATATTATTGCGAACTTCTTGAGGCGAGTGAATTTTCTATACAGACTAATCCCCATTCTACAGGCTAATTCCCCCAATACCGACTAATAGAGAGACCATAACAATTCTCAGGGCAAGACTTTACCCTCTTGTCTATAGTATATTTTTATTAATTTAGTTTATATAAATAAATTATTACTTTTCTACTGGTTAGAATATAAAAATTTAACATTGTAGTTTATATCTAACATAATTACTTCTTACCAAACATATGTTTTCTTACCTGATCAATAAAGTATGCGATAAAATATTTTTTTAATATTTTTAATTATAAAGATTGCATTGTCTAATAATGTCAAATTAAATGATATTCAATGGAACTATAGTAATAATGATCTAGCTTTTTGTGGTGATAACTCCTTGCTTAAAGTAATAAAACTAAATAAGGACTTTGGTAAATTATAAATTTTTTACCTTAATTTTTAACTATTATAAAGATTATACTGAGAACAGTGAAAATTTAATAGAGTTTAATCAAAATTTAATAGGACATAAGGGTTTATTATGAATTATTAAATAATTTAATTTAATTATAGAAAATGTATTAAATATTACTTGGAATGTGCCGCACCATAAGTTGACTAGCTGTGATTCATCAGGATTAATTATAATATGGGGGTTTAAAGAGGGTATTATATCACATATATCTATATATATATTATATTAATTAAGGCAAATGGCAAAGAGAACTTGAAAATAATCGAAATGAATCCAATATTGTATCTTTGAAATGGAACAATGAGGGAGATAAAATATTTATAGCCTACCAAGATGGTTTTTATTTATATTAAATTATTAGTTGGAAATTTATATTTAATGTTACAGGGACATTTCTTGTTGGAAATATAACTGGTTCTAGGCTATGGCTTAAGAATTATCCACACATTAAACCAATTTATTTTACCTGGTCCCCAGATTCTAAATATTTCTTGTTAGCTGATGCATATGGAATTATAAATATTTATGAAGGAAATGGGAATTATAAAGTTTGAACACAGTTTTATTTTTTATAATCAAGTATTTTATAATAAAATTTTTTTTAACATTTATGGAATTTTTCTACATTTATTTTACATTTTATATATTTTAATGTAACATAAAATTATATATAAGCCTGGCCAGAACTGCCTTTTTAAGATAAATAATTTTTTTGGGCAGGCCTAGGTTATAATTTTTACAAGTTGTATATCCCATAATAATTTTTTTAAAAGGTAGAAAATCATAAATTTACATTATTATAAGTTTTAAAAAAACTGAAATTCCAAACAGCCTTGTAAAAAATTTTGACAATTAACCTGGCCTGTAAATTATTCCCAAACTGTCCACTTTTTTCTTAATCAGCCTGAGGAGTGGGAGAGGTAGAAAGAAAAAAAGAATGAAATGGGATTTGGGTTTTAGTCTATCCATGATACCCATAAATGTAAAATTTATAAATGACTAAATAAATTATGATTTTTTAATATTATTTTAATACAGGAGAAATTGTAAATTAAATTTTTTTTCAGGAAAAATTAGATGTTAGATGTGTGGTCTTAAGTGATGTTAAATCACAAACAATAAAATATATGTGTTGGATAGATAAATATAATATAAGTTTCAGGCCACTATTAAGTTATTCAATATTAGGCTCAAATTTAATGAATAATGAAATGATAATAATTTGTTACAAAAATGGTAATTGTCAAATATCTTATCCTGCTGCTAATAAAGAATCTGAAAGTAATATTTATAAAATATTAGTATATCTTTTTAAAAAATTGGATAATTTTTTGATAAATTAAAATTATATTGTTATTTTTTTTGTTATCTTAGATATTATTAAACTTATAATATTCTTATCTACGAGCTAGTACTCAATAATTTTCATTTATTTTTAAGATCCTCTTATATTGGAGACTCATTTAACTATTCATTGTTGCCATGTAAGTCATTGCCATAATTATTTGGCTATAGTAGGACAAAAATCGAAAGATATGCAGAAGAATAAACAGGACGCCCCAATCAAAACTTCTGATCCAATACTTATACATATCTATTGTACGATGATTGGAAAAGTAATCACTTTTGTCATCTTAGTGATCTAACTACAAAAATAAGAAAAAAGGTTTTTATTCATATTTTTCTTTTTATAATATCTAGCTTTTGAACGTTATCACAATTTTGGATTCAGGGAAGGATAGTATAAGCGGAATATCATGGCATTCCTCCTCCAATTACCTAGCTTTTATCATAGCCGACAATGTTTACATTTACAGAATTCGACATAGTTATTTGGTTACAAATCCCTTATGCTTTTTCATTTAGAAATAATTTGATTTTTGTTTACATTATTTTACGCTTAATATTATAATAAATATTTTGTTTATGCTATATTAGTGGTCTTACATGAGCCAAACGGGTATGTTAGCTTACTGTTGGCAGGTAGCAAAGCAAGAAGGGCCCGAACATCCCACTCGCGCATTATCACATACTACCCAAAATTATCGTATGACATTTTGCGATATCGAAGCTCATAAGTTTCTGACCGCTGTGAAGGATTACGATTTGAACGAAGCGATTGGTGAACGGGATAATTATTTCCAATTATCGATTTGTTCCAATCACGATACAACCGTGCTAGCTATCCACAATATTAGTTCGTCCAAGGAATATTCTGACACTGAGAAATGTTTATAAATATATTTGTATATAAATATAATTTTTTTAAAAATATATCAATAATCGTCTGCTTAGAAATGTTTACCTTGCCCTTGTTGATGGATATCATATATACATTGAAAAAACGTATTTTTTGTTTCATGTTCTTGTATTATTCAATCCCCCCCCCCACCCTTCCCTGTCTTGGAAAGTTTTTGGATACTAGCATGATTGGGTTAAATTATAAATATTATAAGTATAATAAGAACATTAGGAAATATTTAGATGGATAAATATATTATATATATTTGTTTTTTTTACAGGGAACCATGTCTATCTTGACTTTCTATAACTCGACGGGTAATTTAATCTGCAAGCACGCATGTGATATAAGATCTAAACATTTAGCATTACCACAAAATCATATAATTGGCAATGACGTTTATACGGCTGATAATTATGTTAACGTGAATCGGTTGTTGATAGTCGCCTCCAAGACTTCATTTTGTGTCTTGTTTTTGAAAGAGTTTCCTAAAAATTATAACGACCTTAGATACTCACCTGTCACATATCAGAGGTAAATTTATATATATTCATTTTTTTTAATCTGAAGAAAGAGGCCATTATAATTTCAAGGGAGTAATCTCATGGTCAACGCACTTAGTATCCGTTTTATATTTGAATTCTTTTATATTATGTGTTTGACTATCGGAAAAGGGGGGGGTGGATCTCCTCATCGTTGGCTTAGGGGAGAGGGGTTTAGAGAGTTCTGATGGAGTGTAATATTATTGTATTCATATTTAGTATTATTTTGCTTTTTAAGCATGTATATATTTTTGTATATAGAATATTTCATATCGATGATATTCCATCTTCTACCCATGATGCCATCACCGATTTACCCCAGGCCTTTAAGGTTTAATTTTTTTTTTGTCCTTATTTTATTTCCTAAATATTATAGACAACCAATGATTCTATATGCTGCCTCTATTGCTCAAATGATTATTTAACCATCGTGAGTTCATAATTATTCATAAATTTTTACCTTTATTTGAGGGCAACGATTTTTAAAATTTAATATAATTGCATTTTGATCTAATAAAAGTATCATACAATAATCATTAATTACAGAATAAAAAAAAATAATTTTTTTGTAGGTTTGTTATTTTATTATGTAAAAATGCTACAAATTATTCTTTATAATTAAATTTGATATGTTAAAAACGTTGCGTAATAGTAAATTTTAATGATGTTTACATATGCTCTTCAAAATTAAAGTAAAATGAAGAATTTTTTTATAAATACTCAAGCAAGATTTTTGATCAAATTTTATCTATAATTCCAAATCTTTTATATAAGTAAATCTTTTGTGATTTTTATTTTTTATGTATAAAAATAATCTCTCATGATGAAATCATAAATTTTTTTGAAAAATAATCTTCAATTTCAATGAAGATTCAAAAAAAAATTTCAAATCTTTTAAGATTATTTTCGAACCATTTTCATACATTTTATATTTTAAAAGAAATGCTTACAATCCCTAACTGCATGGAAAAATATTATAAAAGTTTTACATTGTATTACATTATTTCTAATTTTAAAATAAACAATTTCTTTTTTTAAGGGAAGAACATCCGGAGATATAAATTTGTACAGCCTTCCTAAAGTCACATTTTTATCCAAGATTTCTAATCCGTATGCTACTGATCGTTCTATTAAATTTATCACACCTCTTCAATCTATCTCCTTAAATCGTGATTCATCGTAAAAAAAACTTGGCTAATCTATAAATACATAATATTTTTTAACTAAATTATAAATACTTTTAACAAAAGTAATAGCATTTTTTTAATATATATTTTATAAATTCAATGGATAATATTTACCGTATTCATTACTCCTATTAAAAATAATAATAATTTTAAAAAAGATACCAATCTCATTTTAGTCGATCATATGGTAAACCTTTAAACTGGGTTTTTTGGCCAAAATTATTTTGAGCATAAATCTTTTAAAATTCAACAAAATTTAAGTTTTTTTTAAAAAATATTTCCTCATGAAAAGCATTCTTTTTATGTTCTTAAATCAAAAATCGTTGAATTTTTATTTTAAGTTGCCTACCTTATAGGCTTTTGTTTTTAGCTGTTAATAGGTATGTTTTTAATTTTTTTTTGAAAGGGTGTAGGGGGATAATTGTTAACCCTATAATTGCTATTCTTATAGAGTTTTACAAATATATATACCAAACTTCTATTTTTATATAAGAAAATTTTTTTAAAATAGGATAATAGCACTGTTAGATTGTAGTGGAAACTTGAAGTTCGGAATGATGTCATCCTTTGAAGAGACCGCCAAGATTAAGGATACACCGAAGCTAAATGGTTCCCAGAATTTTAATGAATGGTTTCGCAATGTTAAAATCGAAAACGTTTGGGCGTTCAAATGGGCGCAAGTTTAGAATTCACTAAATATTTTTCTTAATATTTTGAGGTCATAACTTATTGAAGCCTTAGCTATAGTTGGGTAATAGTTAAATGTCATTTCGGCTCAATCTTCAGGCGCTTGCCGAAAAAATATCGTTAACATTAAGGCCATCTAATTTATAGTAGTTTCTTCCAAATTTGTGCTGCTGTTTTTTTTAAGAAAAACACCGAGGACAAAGTGATAGTTTTCGGTTAAAAACTTAAGCTAAAAATATTACTAACGTTAAGCTAGGTGGGAAATAATTTGTCCGATTTTCCTGAAATAAAAATTTCAAACTTGATGCTGCTATAAATTTAATTCGAATATAAACAAAATTGATTTTCTTATTTAACATTTTACTCATTTATTAGAACAAAATAATCTTAGATTGAAAATAAAATTAACAATCAATTTCTTGAACTTTAAATTTATTTCTTTCTTTCTGTCAGATCAAACTTGCGAAATATGTTAAAATTTTATTTTGCAAGTTAGAAACAATACGTTACCTAGGGTAATAAGAATCAAACTCAAATTTTAGGTCGATTTTTTCGAGTTCAACCAAAGCGAAAGCCTTTAAAAAAACATCCGAATCAAGGACCCATAGTTGGGGTCACAATTTTTCAACCACATAATCCTGGCAAAGGAGATTACAAATTGTGAACATAAAAATTCTAGATGGGTATCAAAATTAATATTTAAAATATAATTTTATACTCTAGTACCAGTGTTGTTGAGCCATTGTTTAGCAAGAAAACACTTATAAAATTATTTTCTCTTTTTTTACAAATTTAATGGTAAGTATTTTGACGTGGAAACTTTGTGTTTCTCGATCGATATTATATCAAGTTCTTATTGGGATTATCAGGTCCTCGCTATGTGGCAAGGCAGTGTTTTGACAGAGGCAGATTTTCCCTATATAATAAATCACAGAAATATCTTTTTACTCTTAATTTTAAAATCCGCCATTTTATCAACATCTTATCCCCCTGAAAATATCCAACTCTTTCAAAACAATGATAAAATAGACGGACATGAGGGGTTATTCATATCTTTCTCTTTAATATCCTTTACTTTTATTAGACTCAGATCCAGTTTTGGGGCTGGGCTCCTTTTTTGCATATTTGACTTGGGTAGAGACCGAGAAATCATTTGAATTTCAGATTGAACCTTGATTCTAGCCTATTATACAAAATCATATTAATCATTTTTGCATCTTTATAAAGAATGACCCGCAAGCATTTTGCTACAATTCTAAATCGAAAATCCTCCAAAACACCGATGGCAGCAGCAGCGATAAATCGAATTCCTGGGCCAAGGGCCCCATCTTATATTACGATATGCAAATTGTTATTTTAAACTTAAATTCGTTGTACGAGGGGTTGGCGAATAAATTAACAGATTTGCCCTGCAAAGAGATTCTTATCATCATAAATTCTAGGGTATTTTTCATTTTGCAGAAATTCCTGAGAATTTTTTAAAACAAATTTCAACAATGATTTGTACATTTCAATTTTCGATTTTCCGCTTTATTTAATTTTTCTTTTCTTGGAAAGAACTAAATTGAAAATGCATTTATTTTATAAATCGAAAATTATAAAAAAAAAAAAATTAATTTTTTATACGCAGTTGGTGTCAAAACTGAAAAGTATTCTGAAATCTGGCGATATTAATAAGGCTATCGAGTACGTTAATAGAAAGCCCCATAAAATTTTGTGGTAAAATATTTTATCCAAATTAATATTATAAATAATAATAATAAAAGTTCAGAACGCATTTTACCATCACAAATAGGTCATTGAATAACCTTATTTCATTTCATTTTATATATTTTATTTTTTCAATTAGGAAAATGATATATGATAACTCATTGGATCAATTTGATCTCCAAACTGCCGAATTATCCGCCCAAAAATTAGAAGATTACGCGTCACTTTATCTAATCAAAAAAGCCCAAATGGTGAGATCTTTATGCTATATTTTATAAAATAAAATTGGGTAGAATAGTAAAAAAAACATCAATTCAGGAGAATTAAATCCTCACCAACTGTTTATTTCCATATTAACCAATATTAGTGCCTAACAAATATGATAATTAACTCATAACTATTTTATATTAATACAATTAAGCCATAAGTCAAGTAACCTGTTAGGCTCGCTCGGTTAATTTTTAAAAAATTATACTATTAAGATTTTATAGAGGTCCAAACCGTTTTTCCATCTATGAGCAAAGATTTACATCATAATAATCTATCCAAATCAGGTTTTTTAACAAAACTACCCCTGACTACTGGTGCAAAATATTCCTAAGAATTCTGTCCAAAAATTTTGCAACTTCGTTTTTAAAATTTTTTTTTACCTTCTCTTACCACCCAGATCCTTTCTTACGATAAACTAATTCCATTAAACACGTTTTAGATACATTTTATTTCTCGAAAAATACTATTTAAAACTTCTTTTAGTATAAAAGTTCTTCCCTGTTATCGCCTCTAAATGACATGACCGCTTCAAAAATTAGGACAAAATCAAAATACCCACCTTATATTCTAACTGATTTACTGACATCATCACGCCTGACCGACACCGGTAAGTGTGTAGAGTGGGGTGAGTTGATAAATAAAAGAAGTTGATATACAAATTTGTAACCCGATATGAAAATAAAGATAAAGTGCTGTTAATTTTGTTTTCATTAGAATTGTGTAGCGGAAGTAACCTTTTATTATGAATAATTTTAAACATTAAAAGAAAATATTTCCATAAAGATTAATGAAAAAGTCATTAATGAAATTTTTTATGCCTTAAATTGTTAATCAATAAATGTTGAAATGCGAGGTCATATGGTATTTGATTATGGCTCAACTCAAGGAAATTATTGTTACTCACATGATCTGTCAGATTTTACAAATCATTAATAAAAATGTGGAGCTTCAAAATATAGAATTTTATTGAAAACGATTTTTAATATATCTTAATCCTAAATGCCATATCTTTCAAAATTTCAATTAACCCCACCCCATATCTTTCTAACCTTTAATTCTATATTGTATAATTTTAAATATATATCATCCAATTAAAAAATTTCCTTGAATTGGATTATTATCATGATTCATGATTATAAACCAATGGCATCTATTTTAAAAAAAATGTTGTCCTAGTGCAACTCTAAATCAATTTAACACTTTTAGTAACATTGTAATATTTGGGATAGGTTCTAAATCACTAAAAATTGCAAATCTCGCTTATATCTCTTAGAAAAAAAAATTTAAGTAAATTTGAAATTAATATTAATAGATGCAAGAGAAGTAAACACTTGTATAAATTGAGTTTTTTATAAAAAAAATCGCCAACAATAAGGAAATATCCATATTCCCAATTTGATTAATGGGTGATCCAATTTTTAGCGATATAGAACGGGAACCTAAATCTTATATTTAAATATAATCAAAACTTTTTTCCCCACATCAAGTTATTATTACACGATGGTCACCAATTTTTCGAAACTTTAATTAAAAAAAATTTAAATTGTGAAGGAAATTACTTTTTTTAAAAAAAAGTAAATCATATTAACCATTCATATCAATCGGCAGGCTAACCATAGAAATTTGGTGCATCTTAAGAATGCTTTAATCTTTATACTGATAAAGGACTTTGAATCAGCGGAGACGGAGCTCATTAACTCAAACCTAAAGTTTTTATATTAAAAAGTTAATATTATTGTAATGACGTAAATAGCATGAATCAATGTTCGTCCAGTGTGTATTTGGTGTAATTAATCGTTGTTTTATATTAAAAAAGTAAATATTTGTCTGACATGACCAAAAATATAATTTTTTTTTTTGTAAACTTAGATTTATTATATCGTTACCTGAGAATTAGGTTATTCCATGTCCACTTTTTTCAAAAATGACTTTTCATAAATCAATTTTTTATTACATATATAAAATCCAAAATATTTATAAAAATATAAATTATAGCCAATGTAAGGTTAACCATCCTATTGAAAACAACTAAAAACCTAATCTTTTAAATTGTTCTCCTGTAAAATTACGAAAAATGGAGATGGAATAATCGAATCCTCATGCCACGTTATGAACCTTTTCTTGTCATATGTTGTTCTTTTTCGGATATATAATAACCCACTATATGGCTAAAAAGACTCTTCAAACTAATTAATTAATAACATTATATGGCTAAAATTGATATTCACTTAAAAAAAGAAATTTATCTCATTTTATATATTTCTTTTGTCAAGGTTAGAATTATTGAAGTTTTATAGATCTATTGGTAATCTTAACAAGCTACTCGAAACGTCGCGAAAATTTATTCAAGAATACCGACAAAGAGAACGTATTTCTACCTCTATAATCATGATCGATCCTAACCCCATTCAGAGGAAAGAAAAGGAAAATGATGATAGGAATAATATATTGGATCTTATGAATACTAACGAACATCTCCATGACGATGATGAAGCTATCCTGAAAAAGATATACCAATTCAAAACACAAGCCCTTATGAGTATAGGAGATCATTATCTTTCCAAAAATAATTGGTAAAAACTTCTCTTCTTATTTTTTTTTTAAATATTCCGTTAGTAAAGTTAAGAGAGTGGAACCAGAACCAAAGAGGTTTTTTTATTTTTTAAATAAAGGTAAAGTTTATTGTTAGGAAAATTTATTATTTAAAAGCTTTCTTTTTTCTTTCTCTTTCTTTCTTTTTTAAATTACTAGAAGACTACTCTCAGATTGGTTTAAAATTTACGTTTTATTTTTAGGGATCGGTCCATTTTAATGAAAATTTTTTTATACACATGATTAGGAAAAAGGCGATACCCTTTTACAAAGAAGGTAAATCTTATTTCAAACTCATAGAATGTTATCTCAATTCGGATGATCATTTTACAAACATGGTGCAGTTACTTAATTCTTTAGACCCTGACAGTGATAAAGACGTGCTTCAAGTATTATTAGTATAAATGAAACTACTTTTTTAATGCTTTAATTAAAATTGAAATAGAAATTAGCATCCATTTTCAGGGCTCAAGGTATGTACGAACAGTTGATACAATGTTTAGCCAAAGTATTTATTTTCCATTAGTTATTTTGTTGATTTTTAAACATATTTTTAAATTTATTAAATATTTGGTAGAATTAGTCTCTATATTTTTTTTAAAAAATTGAGGATTCGTCTGAATAATAGGTAAACCCGAACTGAAGGGCCCGCAAAAGTATGGAGGCTAAACTCTAATGTATTTAACAAGGTTGGTAGGAAAATTATCCCACGAGTTCTGCAGGATTCCCGTGTCTCCTCTAGTTGCGATGTGTGAAATATATCCTAAAAAAAATTCTAATTACAAACACTTATGATTAGCTTTGAATTTTAAAAATTATTGTTAAGGTTTGGACCATGTATTGAATAGAAATCGTTTTTATAAAATCTTAATGGCTTCTTACCCAATCACGGTATTCCTCGCAAAGTTTCTTTAACCGAATTTTGCTTTTATAACTGAGATTTAGTTCTCGGTGTCCATCTACCCACACGTCAACGTTAAAATTTGGTTTCATCAGTTGCCACATCGCATTTCATTTTGTTAAAATTAATACTCAATTGATGTGTGTTTATTCCCAACAAGGTTAGGAAAACGGTATTTCCATTCTTCACATTATTCGTCGGTTAGAGTGCTTTGATTCATGTTCCAAGTTTCCGAAAGAAATCGAAGCTCAATTTGACGTGTCTGTTTCATATGAGCAATTTCTTTCAATATTAGATGTCAATTAATAATTATTCTATATTTAATTTGTATATACATAATTATGATTTATCTAATAAAACAAATATATCATATTACAAAGTTTAGTCAAATTTAGTTTTAATATCTTAATTGTGGATGGAGATTGTATTTCTCTTAATAAATTTAAATGTCGAAAAAAATTATTATAGCCAATAATTTTTACGAAAATAAAAATACAGAGGTTTTTTACCTCCGGTTCTAATTTTTTTTTTTCACTTACGAGGTTTTAAATCGTGTAAAATATTGTGAATTTGCGTTTTAAAAATATTTTTATCAGGAAATTAATTCAGAAAGTATAATATCGACACCCCCCCCCCCACCCCCTTCCATATTTCTTTCGAGCAATTTGTAAATGTTTTATTATAACAAAATAGATTTTTATTAAAAAATATATTAAAATTAATATGCATCCAAATTTTCCCCAATTATACGACTCCTACAGCTCTGAAAGTCGATAAATATACGATTCCATCCCCACGAGCAATGTATACAATAATGGGATCCCCTTGGCCCGGAATTATTTTGTTTAAAAATTCAAAGAATAATCACAGATATAAATGCGGTATGAATCTGAACACCCAGTATCTTGATGTCGGTACCATGGCAGGCCCTCTACTTAGTATATTGAATGAAAAGTCCCCATTATTATCAAAGATTTATCAGATTTTGTTAAATATCAAAACATTGGCATCGCATATTAATGATAAGAGCTAAAGGACACCACTCTTCAAAACATTATTTTATATGAATACAAGAAAGAAAAATAAATGTAACTACATTTATTATATAATTCATATTCAGATGGGAGAGTGCCAGTCTGCGATCGACATTTGTATTGAAACGAAACGTTTTGATTTATTGAATCAGCCCAACTTAAAAGAAATAATGGACATACAAAATATGGAAAAATTAGCGCTTATGGACCACGAATCAGCTAATTGTTCCTTAGACCTTTTGCCATTTTCTGATCGCATGAAATTTTATTCAGCACAAGGAGAGTTTTTGTTGGCTGCCCAAAATTTATCACAGGTGTTATGTTGTTTATTGATTATTATTTCCAGAGTTATTAAAAGATACTCTTCAATAAAATTGATCTAAATAAAGATAAATTCTTAAACATGCTTGATACAGATAACTTTCCCCCAAATAATTGTTGGTTCTAAAAGGTTACGTTTTTTTTCCCTTTTTTCTCATCTTTGGAAAATTATACGGGTTTAATGTTTTGACAATTAATAAAAGAGGAATTTTCAAAATTTGGAAATGGCTCAATACCATCAAATAACAAAATGAATTGTTAAATCGTTTAAAAGGGTTTGGGTTATGTTTTGAGGTCTTTTGACAAAATAATCAATGACACACTTTATTTTACGCATTGGATGACGGCAACATGGAAAATAATGCTATTAATGATGATTTAAAAAAAACTAAAAAAAGGATCAGCCAAGCATCACAGGGTTCAAATATTTAATTTCCTTGGCCAATTTATAAAGCTTATTTTAAAATAATCTCTCAAAATAAAGTTAACAAGTCTCTGATTGATTATAAAATGTTTGCTATTTTAAATCAACCTGGTTACCAAATAATAGCATTTTAATAATAATTATCCAAAAATTAACCAAATTTATTTATTTAAATTGTAAATCACAATATTTTACTTTAAACAAACAAAAAACTGATTCATATTATAAATTTTTCTAGACTTTTATATAACATTACATTTTCATACTAAATAATTTTATGAACAACTAATTATATTAATATTTTTTCGACTTTTATATCACATTTGCATTAAATAATTTTATAAAAATCTTTTGTTCAATTTAATACATCATAATAAAATATTTAAATGTTCTTTCTCCCCAAATTAAATATTTGAAGAGTAAATCTAAATATATACAATTTTAAGAGAAAGCATGGGATGCTTTTAATGAAAATACAAAAGCAAAAAGAAAATGTAGAACTAGACTCCTCGTCGCCCTCTTCATTAACAAAACGACCCATCAATATATATATAAATACCTCAAAACATAACCCAACCCCTTTTTAGACAATTTAATTTTGTTATCGATGGTATTGTGCCATTTTCAATTGAAAATCCCTCTCTTAAAATGATTAGCTCTACATAAAATATGTAATTTGCTGGCAAACATTGATTGGCAAAATTTTACGAAGATGTGAAAAAGAAATCATAAGAAGTCTTTTAGAACCATAGATTATTTGAAAAAAATGGAAAATCATCTTTTAACAACTGGTAATTTTATAAAAAAAATTATGCAAATTTTATTATAATATAATTATGATCTAAAATTTATCTTTATATAATAATTTAAAATTTTAACCAATCAAAAAAAACTCTTGGAATTCAAACCTTACCAAAACTTAATATAAAATAAAATTGATTATCTATTCAAATTTTTATTAATTTTAGAAATTGACGCATTTGCCCTTTACGAAAGATGACCCATTATCATGTATAACTCTTAAAAAAATTTACGTTTTAATGGCGTTGTTGTACATGAATCATTGCAAAGTATTGAGAAAAAATAAGAAAAAATTAGAAATTTATGAAGAAAAACTGACCCCACAAGGCTCCGAGGCCAAGGTAAATATATAGTATGTTTTGTATTTTATTTTATATAGACGATTTTGTTGTTTGTAATTTGTATAAAAAAAAATATTACAAAAAGTTTTTGATATACATAGAAATGTTTGTGTGTAGTGTTGTTAAACGGAACCGATTTTTAAAAACGGTTAACTCATTATTTTTTCCAGAAAGCCTCGAGATTCCTCTAATAGATATCCAAATCTTTGTGCCATCTATGAGCAGAATCCACAGGTTTGCGCATTATTTTTCTGGATAAAATAATGACTTTTTTAAAAATCGGCTCAAAACGAGCCATTTAACAACACTATTTGTATGAAGATTATATTAAATAAAAGAATCTTGGTAGAAATAGTTATCACAAGTCTGCTTGTTGGAACCTTATTTTCCACGATTCATAATTTAAATATAATCGTTCTCCTTTTAATTCATATTGTACTTTACTATAATAATAAAGATAAAGAATAAGACGAAAAACAACATTATTTTTTATACCTAGGTTCTGGTTCCATTTTAAAATATTTTTTAGGCCCGGCTTTGGGCTGATTTACAGGATTGCAATCAGAACCTATTAAAATGATCATAATGGCACATGTGTTTTCCATTTTTTTTTAACTCAACGATTCAAATATAAAAAAATCCATATAATATATAAATTATATAGAATAAAGGTAGCTTGGGCAACATATTGGACGCAGAAATGAGATCGCACGAATTCGTGCAGTTATTAAAAGAATCCTTGTTTAAGGCGGACGTGTACCATTTCTTAGTGTTGGCTCAAAAGCAGTTTTATCAAAGTATAATACGATTACATATAAATATAGATGGCAATTAATGAATAACAAAATTAGCTAATGCAGCATATAAAAAATAGTGGATATTATTTAATATATCGGTTCGGACCATGGTTTAGGCCAGAATGTGACTATCACCGATAATTTTTTTATATATATTATCTTTTTATAATCAACATAGTAAGTATAAACAATAGGAAATTTAAAAAGTAAAAAATGTTTATACATTCAATAAACAATTACTTTACCTTTAAATCACTTTCTATTTTACTTATTTAGAAATTTTTTTATTTTATAAATTTATGGCTTAATGTGCCACTTTTTAATTAAAAGTATCGGTGAATCTGATTTTTTTTCAAAGCAGATGCCCTTAGCAAAAATGAAGATTAATAGATTTATCAAGCAAGATGATATAATCCTGTCATTTGTGAAATATTTTAAGAAAATTTTGCAATCTAATCTTAAGGATGCTGATCTATATTATTTCAATAGTAATAAATATATTTACTATTGCGTTTACTTTATTATCATTTTTTAATTAGAAAATAAATATAAATTTTTTATAACCGGTTCGAACCAAGATTCGCAATTTCCGAATTTTAAGGTTTGATCTTTAAAAACCGGTTCCAGACCGACTAGTAGCCTTCATCTCTTATTTATATCAATTATCAGCAGATATATCGAATGGACCACTAAAAAAATCAGGGTCGATATTTTAGAAAAAATTAATAAAATTAATTTTACTAGATACAGATTTTTATTTTGAAGATAAGCTCCTAAATAATTTTATATTTGACAGTTAATGCATGAATGGGTGAAAAATCTCTGATATTAAAGGATATAAATTGAATAGAATTTTGATGGAATATGTCTATTTTTATAATTGAACATGTCCTCTTAAATTATATTTGTCTTAGAAAACTATGGTGATGCAATCAACAGCTTATTGTTTCTACTGCAAAATTACGAACTAGAGCTTAATCTGACACAGTTATATACGACTTTAAGTAAAATCACGCTTAATATTTATTAAAATATTTAGGTTTTCTTATATAATATATTAAATTAATTATATTTTCCAAGTTTTTGCTTCTATCCGCTGTTCCTTTTACAACATTTGCTTATGGGGTCTCTCTAAGCTTAAGGAGTATCAAACAAACTCCCATCTTTCGCATGCGGATCCTAACCAAGGTACCATGATACAAATCTGCGATAGCATGAAAAATCGCGTGTCATACACGAAATCCTTATCCAAAACCAACAAATCCGTAATTCAATGTCCAATCGAATTAAAATGCGTCTTGTGTTCTAAGGTTTTATCTTCAGATACCCTTCGAGTGATTTACCGTGATTTTAAAGATCATAATCAAATCGATATTTCGAAAGTTTGGAAAGACTACATTTCGACCGACAACACTGACATGAACGATGATAATTTCATTAATTGCGATTCGTGTGAAATCGATATAAAACTCGATTTCAAAAAGATAATTAGCGTGGTAAGCGGGAAACCACTGGCTGACTTGACCACCACCTCTCATTCTACTATACTTAGACAGAAAGAGGACATAAATAACATATGGACGTGCAGGTTATGTAAGCGCAAGGCCTATACCTCAGAAATTCAGGCTATAAAAAATTGCCCCCTTTGTCATTTCCCCATTTCTAATAAAAGTGATTGATAGAAGAGTGCCTGATTGGGTCAAGATAATATAATGAATGAAAATATTTATTATTCATATATTAATAAATTAACTATAATCATATTTATTTATAAAAAAAATATCTTTGTAAGCCCATAAATATTTCTTGTAAGACTTCATAATAAAATTTACATCAAATTACGCGATAACAAAATTTTTAGGACTTCCTCTAAATTTAAAACTTTAACACAAATGTCATTCAATATTTCTGTGAGCCGTTTGCTATTTTTGAGAGTATCGTCATATTCTGCGTCTATTTCTTTCAAATTTTCCTCCAATAACAAGCAGGTCCCACGATTTAGGTTTAAAATTAATAAGGCATCACATGTCCTGCAATATGTTTCACATAAAATAGAATATTTTAATCAATATAAATTATTCTCAGAGAAATTATATTAAAAAATATATAAAGGAATATCGATTAAATTAATATATGCCATATTTTAATAATTATTGGGAAAAAAAATTGTTTGAGTGTGTATAAAATTTTGAAAATTCAAATATTAATTTAAGAACAAAAAAAAATTATCATTTATTTTTTGAATAATTTCAAAAGCCCAAATTTTTCTTTTAATTTTTTCTTAGCCCTACCTAAACCCATTTAATATCTTATGATATTTTTTTTCACCTTTTAAATAAAGTTTCGGGGATAATTGAGTAAGCCGAAAATAGGACGAAAAATCCGTTTTTTATATCGTGAGTTAATTGAGCGATGCCGCCTTCGTTGAATCTGTTAACGCAGATGACCTATAATTCGATTATAATTATAGTCGATCTAATGACATAATATCTGTCTTGACTGATTATTCATTCATTAAAATGCATTTCCAATTTGAATACAAATCAGCTGACGACATGCCATTTTGGTTTCCATTATAAGAATTTTTATTAAGGATTTCCAAAATCTTTTTTAAAAAATACGAAAAAAAGTTTTAAAGCTTTTCAAAAGTTTTAAAATTTTAATGAAATCGTATAATTTTTTAATTTTTATTAGAAATTATATTTTGGACATGTTTTTATTTTTGTATTTAAAGGAAGCTTATTTTTACTTTTTTCGATAAAAATTTTAAAGTTTGCTAATTAAATTTTTAAGTATCTTGGACAGAGCCTGAATAAATGTAACTATTTTTTGGAAAAAAAATTTCATATAAAATATTTAGATGGGCATGTCCCAGCTAATTTGTATTGATACACGTTTATGAATCAATCCCGTCATTGAGTAAATCAGAATCTTAATGTTCAGTGAGTTTTACATATTAATTCACAAAATTTTTAAATGTTTTTTATGCCTTAAAATTTTAAATATTATTTATTTTATATATGGAGAAAACGAAAACCCATGATTTTCTGGTATTTTTATTTATGAGTTTTTTTTACATACCAAGTTTTATGTCATTTTAAATTAAAATATAAAGGATTTTTTTTTAGTTTTTATTACTTCATCGAAAAAGTAGGAATCCAAATTTTTGGCCGATCTTATCCAAAATTTTCGAAAAATGTCTTCAGTCAAACCATTTTTTGTGATAAATAATATTTCTTTCATGAAGCTCAGGGTGTCACAAGCGTCCACTGACAATTCGCGATTAATGAAGTAACTTTTTGGAGGGTAAACGTTCCATCTAAATCATAATAACATTATTATTTTTTTATATTTTTTTTAGTTGTAGCCAATCTTCAAATTGTTATCAAAAAAATACCTTTGATTCCTATAAAATTTGAGTTTGGATTTCCATAGAGCGAGAGAACAATCAACTAATTGCGACAAGGCGTCATCGAATGCCATATTGTAAAGTTCTAAGGTTTGAGAAAATATTCTAGTCGAATTTTCATCACTGAGATCATCGTTTGAATCTAATATAAAAATCCGGTTTTAGTATCTAAATTAAATTAATATAACAATAACGATGCGTCAATTTTTTTTTTTTAAAATGTCGAGTATCGATTCATATTTGGATATTGTTATTTAAAAAATAGGCTCCGTTTCTAAAATCGGTATCTTGAACTATACCTCTAAATGTGGAAGATGGAAATAATAAAATCACTATTGTTTTTTGTATTAAGGGGAAAAAATGGTTAAGTTAAATAGGAACCTATTTAATCTTATTTTGATAATTTTGTTTTACACACTCTAAAACTCGTTATCAAATTATTTTTCAAACTTGTTATATCGGAATTATTTAAAATATCTTTCTGCGAATCAAAGCAGGAGGCTCCTTTTTCATCTGATTCATATCCGGCCAATAAAAATTTGTAAAAATTTTCGCTTTCGATTTCTTGAGTATCACTTTCTGTGTCAAAATTTATTGCTGGTGTAAGATTATTATTTTCGACTGGTGGATTTTCACATTTATGCTTAGCTTGGGTATAATCATTTGAATCCTCCGAAGGGTAGGAAGCTATAATAATTAATTTCAAAAAATTATAATATAGGGTTGTTTTTTTTTAAATTTAAATTAATGATAAAAAATAAAGAAATACAAAAAAAAATTGATCAAAATATTATTTTTTTATTTTGTAATAATGACAGGAAATTTCAAAACTATTTTTAAGTAGAATTCCTTATAGGTTGAAACTTATATTAGAATATATTCATACATACCTTGGCATTTGAGCGCTTTTGATGAGGCCAAAAATTTAATATACCTCCTTTTTATGTAGGCAAGCAATACGAATGTCTGAAAAAAACATTTGATTGTTAGATATAATTAGAGATAGTTAAAATAATAATTGGTAATAAGGAGTAAAGATCTGCAAAATTTCGGATCGGGCCTAATCATTTTCAAAAAAATCATACCGGGGTACTTTGGGCCATAATTTTTGAATAAAATTAAATATAGTCTACCATACCATAAAAATAATATATGTACTAAAAGAATTATGAAATTAAATGGGTAGGGGGGGGGGGTTAAACTAACATCACTTATCAATAAAATTAATCAGAGCAGTTTTTAAGGTTATTAATATGATTTTATTTTACGCCGGTGTGGAGGGGAGAGAGAATTTTCCCTGGAAAATGATAATACTTACGGGTGTATCCCGCCATTTTTCCAGTAGCTTAATGATAATGTGAAACGAATTAATCAAATAACAGAACGGCTTCAAATTGATCTTGATTTCGGTCAGGGAGGTGTTATCCAACTTTTTCTGTCGACATATTTGCAGTAATCTTATCCTAAAGTCGTCTAATAATTCTATTTGCAACGACAAAAATTGGATTTTTTGCAAAGGGTAAGGGATGTATTCGTAACGATCTTTTAAATAATAATAATACAGAGAATTGGTTTATTTTAAGGCCGCCCTTTCTAAAACATTTTTTTAAAAAATTAAATTTACTACACTTTCGAAACCTTAATGAAAATAAATACAAATAAAAATGTAATCTATAAAGTTTTTAAAATTTAACATAACGATTTCATTAAAATTTGCGAGCTTTTCGAATTTTTTCAAAATATTTGTATTTGATAGGAAAAATGGTACATATTATTTAAGCTCTCAAAAAGGTTGTAAAATTTGTGGGAAAAAAATTTAGAATTGCAGATTCTCTAGATGTAATCGGGGTAAATATTTTATGATATTCAAGTAGCGCAATGATAATTCTTGGTTAATTAAAACAAAATAAATTAAAAAATATATATATATACAAAGGACAAGAACTGGAAATGGCTTTAAAAATAAAATGGTTTCTTTTGTTTCCCGCTGAATTATAAAGCATATATTTTAGAGGTAAATTCAAATAATTAGGTTGGACACTAAACTAGAAATTTGTCCTAATCTACAATATTTAATATAAATTAGCGTTTTTGAAGCATGTTGGATATTATTTGATGATTCTTTATTTTTTAAATTGGAAATATGTTTTTGCCTTGTTGAATGTTTTTTTTACATCATGGACTCCTACGTGGCTGATATTAAATTTTTCATTACATATTATACAAATTGTATTTAGGGTACATTCTTAATCTTCTCTAACCTATGAATAAATAGAATTCCTTGTGATTTTTATATTACGATTTAAAAAAAATTTTGGATGTTAAACTTGTTTCCTTTCTCAAAATACGGATTAAAAAATACACAAACACAAGATGCTTTTTTAAATATATGATTGAATTAAAATAAAAAATGATAGCGTAAGTTTCTGGTTAAGCTATTTTTAACTATTTTAAAAAAAATTTACAAATCGAGCGAATTTATTTTGAGAAAATCGGGAGAAATCGTATAGACGGTGTGTTTTGGCACTAAGATAAAAAAAAATCGGGAAATTACGCCAAAAACGGGAGAGCTGCAACCCTGGGATCATTCGAAGGCTCCATTGTCGGAAAAACACATTGATACTAACATATATATTATCAAAACACTAGTATTTAAGGTAATAATTTCTAATTAATTGAAATAACTAACCATTTAGATATTCCAGTAAAACGACGTATTTTTCAACGAATTCCGGTATTTTATCCTTATTTGTTAATTCGTTTAGCAAATTTTCATCGCATTCACAAGACCAGGCGTCGGGGGAAGATAAAAATTCATTCATTTTTTCCGTGGCAGCTATATAAAAAAATAATAAATCAGTTTAGTAAGCCCCAAGATGCAAGTCGAATAAATCGGCGAACAACTCGTCCAATAACTTTATTAAACCAACACTAGATATTAAGAGAAAAGACAACGAATTACTATATTAAAAAATAAGACCACTGATCAAATATAAGGCTTGTAAATTAAGGTTAAGAAAGCGGGGCATAATTACTCAAAACTGTCAATCCTAAAACTAAGAATGAAATTAAGGTAATAAAAGATTAGCAAAATTTTATTACTTTGAGAGGAATACATTGGAAAATAAAAAAAATATAAATTTTTCGGCCAAGGAAAAAAAAATGGATGTATTTATATATATTTTGTATTTATATTGTATTACATTTGTGTTCAATTGATATCCATTTGTTAAAATAATATTTTTCGCAAAATATTTCCAAACAACTTGGCAAGTTCAAATCGTACCCTGTTATTATATACAAATAAAAATTCGAATACATAATGAAATGATATAAGTCATTGGAGGGAAAAAAATTTTGCAGCGCCTTTTGATTTTTTTTCAAATAAATCAATTTAAAAACCACGCAAGCTAGCAATGCCACTAGTATAAGATCTATTAATTAACGTTAAGTAGTGTTTGTCATAACCCACAAATAATGTTTAGGAATTATATAAAAATCGTAAACTTGTTTTATATTATAGCTCTCTTGTGTAGTATATCAATTATAGAAAATTAACTAATGCTTAACAATGATAATAAAATAAATAAATTACACGTAGTATCCTTTTATTTTAAAGTTATGTAATCTCCTGTTCACGTCTATCTATACAATATCTTGCATGTTGCTTTGTGAGATGTAAACGAAATATACTAGCGATGAGGATGAGTTGAAACATTAATGTTATCCCCCCCCACCAAATTCCAGTAATTGACAAATTTTTTCAGAGTCGAAACTTTTCGAATAGTTTCGACTTCCTAACGTGTAAAGAATGGCGACCTAATATATCGGCAACAAATCATTTCTAGTCTTTCCTTATAGCTATCACCTTATAATCTATGAAAAACAATTTGTAAAGATGGTCCTCAGTGTTCTTGGCCGTGGCGAAAAGATCATAAGGATACCCGTCATTCAAAATTATGTTAAAAGTTCTAGCTTAAATATAAGTTGCCCCTTTTTTATTATTTAGGTTAACCATTTAAGACGGGGTATTCTGGATCATATTTATAAAAAAATAATTTAAAAATGACCGTTACAACATGATATATAATAAGTTAAAATTTTTTTTTAATATCTGAATTGAAAAAAGGACTATACGTGTGACTAAAAATTCTATACATCGTGTAGAGTTATATTGTAAATGTATTATAGAAAATTTATTGATTATCATTTAGAAAGCGAAAATTGAAAAAATCAAAATCAATTTTACAAAACTTGAAAAAAGAAATAAAAACTTGCATTGGTAATTTTCCTATCGATAAATATGAAAAATATAAATGGCTCACTGGATACGAATTTTCTAATTCTCTATGCCAACTATTCCCAAAGGAAAAATATGCCTGGAATGATAAAGGATTATTGGATATAAATAATTTAAGACATGAAGAATTAATTGCTCATTTGCAGTTGTTGATTCAATTAAAACAATTTTTCGCCTAATTAGAATATTCTATCTCCACTTTTTATAATTTTATAGGAGATCAATCTAAAAAATAAGATTCTATTGTTTTCACTAGGATAGTTATAGTTAACCTTGTATCGGATTATAATTTAAATTTCATAAATATTTCGATTTTTTTAATGTATATAGAATTGGTATAATTATAAAAAATTGATTTATGTAAAAAAAGTCATTTTTGACAAAAAGTGGATATAGAATAAACTAATTCTCGCGGCATGCTAGATTCGATGAGCAAAATATCAATCGAACAGCATAATTTGAAAATGGAATCAAATAGAGAAATTGGAAATATTGATCAACTTTATATGTTATCTAATTCGGGTGCTTGCCTTCAGTGGTAATGGTGAATCTTCTATAATTCAGTAAATAGAGGAAATTATATTGAATTAATTTATTTGCTAATGAAGAAAACATCATTCTGAAAATCGTAGTTTTCATTGGACGCGATAATCAAAATAATTTAATTAATTCTACATGTCTTACATCAAAAAATATTAAACGCTCTTTTATATTTCATCCCAATGCTTATATTTTTTTAAAGAAATTAATAAAATTACATAAAAAATATATTGTTATAATGACCATTATATTTAATATTAATAAAAATAATATTCATTTTTTTAACGAAGTAAAAATAATAGTTTATTTTTTTAACCAAGTCAGATTAGTTAAATATAGTATAAAGATAATATTAAATTTATTTAAGAATCTTGTAAAATTTCAAGAGAACCATTGTTTCTCTCGAAATTATATGGGCACTTCATCACTGGTACGCTATATTGCAATGTTTATAATGAATAAAAGTATATAATAAAAAATATTTTATTTATTTACCAAGCAAATTGAGACTCTTGTGAAACAAAATGCTCTCGTCAATTATATGGGAGAATGTGTCGTCGTCGGTAAAGGCTGAAGGCAAATCGCGTCTTAATTTGTTTTGAGCTATGTACACGAAACCTTTAATGAATTCTATCTAAAAAAAGAGCGTTTAAAATATAAAATTTGTAAATAATTTATCCCCTTCTTTTATAGTATAAAGTAGGTTTAATAAAAAAAAATAGATATTTCGGCTTTGTTTTGATTCATTTTTTTAAAATATATTTAAAAAATAGTTCGACGTGTATATATACACTACTAGATTGATAATTCATTCATTAAATGCATCCAAAAGTGTCCATACATAAGAGTCAGCTGCAGCGCCACTTTGTTATTTAGGCGTCGATTAAATGGTATTCATATGCAATCATCATAATTGGTCGTCGCGCAAACCACAAAATGGCGCTATAGCTGACGCCTATGTATGAAAACTTTCAACTAATGAATCGCTAATCTAGTATATATGCATCATTGAATAGTTCACATAAAAATATGAAGGAATATGTATATTTTGGGAATTAGGATATGGAATTCTGTGGGATTGAAAATCTATTAGGGCAATTTTAATATTTAAAAAATCTGATTTGACCGGAAATGGATTGCAGCATGTATGGAGTATTTACACTGTGAATTTCAAACAATTTTGCCATGAATTTTTTGATACTATTAATTTATATAAATTTTTTGCATAAATTACACGAATATTTATGGCAGAAAATATCTGAAATTTTATAAGGTGGTTACTCTAACACATGCTGGAATATATTTCCGATCAAAATCTTTAAAATTAAAACCCTTAATAAATGATATAAAATTGAGATTCCTAATTCCCATAAATTACCTAACCCAATATGACATTATAGAATAAGTCATATAAATTATTCATTTATTATAAGCGTATTTTAAAGGTATCATCATATTTTTTCTAAAAAAACAAGCACAAAATGGGGTGCCCTATGTGGTTTTCTTAAAATAGAATGCTCTTGTCAGAATCAATAAAAGCTAGGATACCGCCTTAATAATTAATATTAATAAATATTAGTAACCTGTATATCGGTAGCAGCCATACCTAAATTATCAAGCGAATTTTGAAGTAAAGAGCATAAAAATGGAGAGTTAAGCTTGATCCACTCTAGTATTTGACTGTAATACCATTCAGGCTTTTTTTAAAAAAAATAAAGGCGTTAAATTTTTTTTAAGAGGCTTTTGTGATTTTATAGTATAATGGCCCTTTTTATTTTTTCCTCATTTATCAATTTATTTCTAATTTCTAAGGATCCGTGGGAATGGGATTTGAAGTGAGGAAATTCGGTTTTTTATTCTTAAATTTCATTTCGAAATGGGATATCTCAAAGAAAATAAAACTCGTAGAAATCAAGGGATAACAAAAATTAAAGCTAGAACTGGCATTAGTAAAATTTGGCATCTGAGAGACGAGCGTCGCAGAATGAGGATTTAAAAAATGAGATATTCATATTATAAAATAAAAAGTTTAGGCTGGTTATTTTAACAATTTTACTTCTGAGCATGAGCATATCAAAACAGGTAACAGTGGGAAATAAAGTAGACTGAACTGACACTCCAACAATGGAATCGAATCTCATTTAATAATAAAAGTCAGATTTATCCTGTTTCAATAAAAAAAAATGGCCGCTTTATATTTTATAATTACTCCATTTTAAAAAAATATATATCATCATATAATGTTAACAAATTTTAAAGTTAAAAAAAACGAAATATAAAATTACGTAACATTCTATGGCATCATTAATGACGGCTCTATTTTATTGGGGATATGAAGGGTTAATTAAGTTTTTAGAAGTGTTCTAGTAAATTCTAAGAGCTAATCTCCTAAGTTTTTAAAAAAATCATACACAAAAAATAATCTATGGTGACCTATTTTTTTTAAAATGAATCCCCCCCCCCGCAGATAGGATAAGGCGGTAGATTAATGTTATGGGCGGCGTAAATAAAATGGCGTCAAACTTTTTAAATTTGTTAATCTATTTCAATGGCGGAAATATAGAAACATTCCACAATTTAATGTAAAGTTTTTTAAATGAATTATTTTAAAAATTTTTTAATAATTTGGAAAAATAAATGGAGTAATAACAATGGTGGCCCGTATTCTCTACGTAATAATTACGGATTTGAATAGGGTGTGGGTGTAATGCTTTTTATAAAAATAAGTATTTTACATTTAATTATTATTTAGGGCTATATTATATAAAATTAAGAGTCATTTTTATAATAGGTGCATTATCAATTTTAATTGAACTTACTCCAAATATTATAAAATATTTATAATAACTTTGTTTAATTGGTTCGTTTTTCTAAGATCGGTAAAGTGATACTTGAATCTTTTGTAAAATGGTTCCAGCAAAAGGATGGTGAATAGGTCAACTTTATTCATAGGCATAATGTCCAGTAGATCGCAATGCCTTTTCGATGTTTCTTCATCAGTTTTTGATTGTAAAGACTTGATCCTTTCCAAAATTTTCTTATCGAGCATCCAGAGCGGTTTAGTGTATAATGAACCATGTCAATCAAAATTTATTTTTCAAAGTTAAGGATTCGTCAAGTTATTCTGTTCGTTTGTTCCCTTATATGTTACCCGCGAGTTTCGTTAATCAAGCGCGGGTAATGAGCGTATTGTCAGTTATTACTATAAGAGTAATATCATGCAATTCTAAAATTTATAGGGTAAAATTTCTACAGATATTGGAATATACTTCCGCCAAAATCATATTCTTGTTCGCATTAAAAAAACATACATCATTTGTCGAACGCTATTTTCTTTTAAATTAAAAAAAAAAGAAGATTCTGCCTAAAGCATACTACAATACTTTAAACAATCTATAAATAAATTTTTGAAGAAATTAAAAATTTCATAATATACTCGAATTTTCCGATTACTGTCGTCTGTTAGGCCATTTCCAGACAGGACGTTCTTTCAAAGCGGTTTTTGAGGCATGTTTACAGCAATTTTTTTTATTATTTCCAAACAAGAGATAATTACGATTAAATGGCGACTGAGATACATGATTCGTTGAGTTTGTTTTAAAAATATTATATTACACAAAAATTGGAGATATTTTTTTACTAATTACTAGATACATGCCTCCGAAACCGCTTTAAAAAAACGTCCGCTTTGGAAATGGTCTTATATATATTAATTGCAAGGATCATTCCCCAAAAAAAGTTTGCAGCGCATAAACTCTAAACCCTAAAAAAAATTTTACAAGTTAGAACGTTTGGATTCTCGAGGAAAGATTTTTAAATTTAAAAAATTTGATTTGACAGAAAAACATATGTAGGAACTACCCCTACGATTCACTAGTGTTGTTAAACGGCCCGATTTGGGTCAATTTTTAAAAATGTCCCAATTAAGATTTTAGCCAAAATAATATTATATTAAACCTTGAAATTTGACAAATAGAGGTCTACCTTTTTGCCATATAGGCAAGATCTCCAGGGTTATATAATATTATTCTGGTTAAAATATTAATCGGGCCGGTTCTAAATTTCATATGATTTTTATCATCAAATTTTGTTTTAATTAATTAGTATGAAAAAAATATTATTAGTTCAAAAATTCGGCCAATTTGTATAAAAATTTACATGGGTAACTCTATAAGTGCTAGAATACATATCCAGCCAAATATGATTTTCAAAATCTTAAAAGTCACCCCAAGTAAACGATTTACAATTGAGTTTCGAATCCCCATGAATTTTATATCCGAATACGACATGTATATTAGACATTGTGGAGAATAAAACGTCTCAATTCGAAATATATTACTGTTTACATTATTATAGAACGTTTGTTCAGACCCCCCCCCCCGATAGGGAGCTAACCCCTAAAAATAGCAGATTTCCATAATTATGCCAATTATATTTTTTGAAAGGTATTTTTAAAAAATTTTAAAAAAAGGATATGGTAAATCGGAAATTTTTTTGATAGTGGATGTTAAAATTTTCTTCCTGTTGTGCGATTCGTCTGCGAATTTGACGTTGTTTTCGTTGGTAAAATCTCGCAAGTTTTGAGTATCGGAATTGATAACGGGCCAACCGTATTGACTAGCTATATCTTTGTATTCCCTTTTTAGGGACAAAAAAAAAATTCAGGTAAATTTTATAAACCGCTTCCTTTAAATATTATAAGGTTCCATCCCCATTTCTGACCAAATGTCTAGAAAGAATAAGTGGACTTAAAACACGATTCACTAGTAACGATGCCAACTAATCAAGATACTTTATATAGTATTTATTAATCCAATATTTTTTTTAAAAAGATGTTATTTTATTTTAATGAATAAATGATTTTAAAAAATATACTCGAATAATTTAAGGAAATAGATGTCGAACCAAAAATACGTGACGTTCAAAATATAATCAAACAAATTCCGACATTTTGTTTGGCCGCCGTGAAGCCTCGAACCAACGCTTGTCAATTCTTTCAGAAAAAATAGGACCTGGTCGTAGGATTTTATGAGCAGGGCGGAACGTAATTGCGAACTTTTAAATAATATGTTATAAAATATAATTGTCTACCATAAATCTACTGGGTGTACGCCAAATTGGATAATAGCTCAACTTAAGGAATGATCAACTGAAGAAGATTTTTAATTTGATGAAAAAAACAAGTTCTTAAAGTAAGGAGTAGGATTAAAAGTTTAGAGATATGGTTTAGGGTTAATATATATAAATGATTTTATAAAATTTAATCAAATTAATCTGACAAGTCATGTAATTGTAAATAGACTAATAAAAATTTAAATAAATCAGCTTTTGTAATGGTAATTTCTTTGAGTTGGACCATAGTCGTAAAATGGTAATTTTTTTAAAAAAAATTGGATTGTATAAAATTCAAATATAAAAATGGGCACTTCAGCAGATCTCAATTTTTTTTAAGATCTGCAATAGGCCAATGTAATACATTAAAAAAGAATTTTTTTGGTGTAGAAATAAAAAATGAAATGAATCAATAAATTAGAAATATTGAATTTTTTTAAAAATGAGAAAGGATCAGTCTATATATAAAATTTAATCATTATTTAATTACATTTCCTTTTTGTAAGCAGATTTGGGCCTCTAAACTAAAAAAAATTAATTTGCTTCCAATGATGTATATATACTACTAGATTTGCGATTCATTCATTAAATGCATTTCAAAATTGTCCATATATAAAATTCAGCTGTAACGCCATTTTGTGGTTTGGGCATAAAATGGCGCTAAAATGAAAGATAGGAATATGCTATTATTGATGTAATAATAAAATAGTGGTTTAAATTACTATTTTTGAATTTAAGAAATTTTATTAATGTTTTTTTTTTAATTTATAGAAATTAATAAAATTTAATATATTTTAGCTAAAAGTTTATAAAGTTGTAAAATTTATGAAAAAATAAGTAAGAAATATTAGTTTATATAATAAAATGGGCATCAAAATGGGAAGTATAAAAATAATTTGGTAGAAATTATAGATTTCAAAATTTACTAAACTTTTATAAAAATTTTAATGGAAGATTTTGGACATGTTTCATAATTTTATAAAGTTAAAAAAATTTTGAAATTTATATTTATTTAGATATAGTCATATCCTAATATGTATAATAGATTTTGGACATGTTTCAAAACTTTAAAAAGTTACAAAAATTTTGAAATTTATATTTTTTTTAGATATTGTCATATCCTAATGTGTATAATTTTTATAAGTATTAATAATTTTAACTTCATTTTACAAAAGACAAAGTATTTTTAAAATTTTAGAAAAAAAAATAATCCCTTTATTTCGAAAATATTTTTACAATTTAATTAAAAATTAGAAATTTGACCATTGTTTTTTAAAGAAAATAAGGGTGGTTATTTCACGTACCAGGTATCTTCAATGTATTGTATGAAAGACGTATATAAATAATATTTTTCATTTTGGATACATTCATCTAAATTCTCATTTAATTTTCCCAAAATCTATATAAGGATTGAGTATTTCTATAGTAAATTTTGAATAACTTGCAAGCTATTTTCCACATGCGGTGGTAGCTTAGGATAGAGTTTATATTTTTGTATATTATTTTTATTAGATTCTTCATTTATACTGTCTTCTAAGTGTTTTAGATTTTTTTCATCATTTTTAATTAAATCTACTAAACTCAAAATCTAAAAAATATATATTATAATCTAATTAAAAAACTTTGTTTTCAATCTCAATTTTCTCTTTTGAGCTATTTTGATATAAAATTTCTAATTTTTCGATATTCAATATATCATTGTTAATTTTCATATTTATCTTTTTTTTAATTCTTATCTTATCTAGCACGTTGGTCATGGACCTGCCCAAAATGAGCGAAGGGGCCCTTTCCTCCATTAAATAAATTCTCTTAAAAAAAATATAACAGATGTTTTTGTTTGACAAATAGAATTAAAATTGTCAATCAATCATTAGAAAGATTTTTGGTTAGTGATAATATGAATTCGTAAATGTATTGTTTTTTATTGAAAAGATAAATTCCTTGATATTATTATCAATGGCGTAACCAGGATTTAGCTATAAGAGATATGGGGGAGGGTGAGGTGGGTAGAGGTCTATCAGCTATATTTTTAGGTTTAGGGACAAAATATGTTGCTTCAAAAATTAATTCAATACTTTTATTATGGACTTATTAAAATATACAAATATTTCTAACCATACAGACTATATTTTTCAAATAAAACTATATTTCTGGATAATTTTCTGTTAAATTTTTTAATTTAATTTAAAGGGATTAAACATTTTGTCAGGAAACTTATATTCATAAGGAATTACCATTATAATTAAAACTTATAATTGATAAAGGGGCTATTTCAGCGGGCGGGTAGGATAGGTTTTTGAAGGGTGTTTTCTCATGTGAAGATCTGTCATGTAACGTTGTTCATCCCTATACTTCGATCAGGGTCGTCGCTTCTCGCTAGCCTTTATAATCTCAGGGGGCTCAACTAAAAAAAAAATTATGGGGTGCTTCTCCCCCTATGCTCCCGAATTTTTTCTATTAATATATTATACTTTTTTTAAATTTGTTAACTCTGACTGAACAATTATTCTGAATTTTAATTTTCTCATTTATTATATTATAATACAAAATAAACTTGCATATAAATAATTAAAACAATAAAAGGTATTTCTAAAAATTTTATTTTTTTAATACAAAATCTATTTATTACAGTATAATATTTTAGATAGCTGATATAAAAATAATTTGCGTCTAAAGAATTACAAGTGATAAAAAAGATTAATTAATTCATACTTATGCCTCTATTAATAATAGTTTTTAAAAACCACATAATGCAATAATATAATTCTTAGCAAAATTACATTGACAAAAGGTTGTCAAACTAATATATCTCTCTGTTACCATTTTACACATTTATAGAATCGACTCATAAGGAAAAATTTATAGGCCTAAACCAAATCAACAATTCTTGAAGAAGATAGTATAAGCGACCAATCCAAATTATAAAACTATTAAGTGGTTAGAGCTTCCTTTTAGATGACATGATGATAGATAGATAAGTAATCGATAAAATTATTGTGAGATATTAAATTTCTAAAAGATTATCATCCATCTTAAATGATATATAATATATAAACGACTACACAGTTAACCATTATTGTTTATCTATAATATGCAATTATATGCTTTCAGCCGTTGTAGTAATAATCTTAAATTAAATAGCAACAAAAATAATAGATGCTGGTTAATTTGCAGGAATAGACATGACACTCACGATGTAAACTAGTATCAGAATTTATTATGTTGGACATATTGATAAAATAAAAACTCTAAAAATCTTTGGAAGAAATAATTGTGCAAATATATTGAAGCCATGAGTTATTTACACGGCAAGGATGCCATATTAGAAATGAAACATTTTGGAACTATAAAATAAGGATCAGAATGATTTGATGAAACAATTAAGATTTTATATATTGTCGCACCACCTCTAGTTGGTATATTATATCTTAAAATAATAGTTGCTTGTAAAAATATCAAAAATATACTTGTATTAAAAATTTAACTCAAAACTGTTTTTTGAAAAAGAATAAAAATAGCTTTCTTAAAGTAAAAAAGAAAAGAAAAGATATGAAATTTATTACATCTATTGTAAGATGAATAATAAAATGTTTAATTGTTAAAATTATTTATAACTAAATAGATGGAGTTAAATACTTGAAAGCAAATTGTTACTACATTTATTATCAAAAGCATTTATTAGTAAAATTCATTATAATACTAGCTGTAATATATTATAACTGTCAAATACGTCTATAGAAGTGGCATTTTATCAAATATTTTATAAACAACAACTGTATATAATAGAGGAATATAAACTATATGTCTACTTACTTTTTATTATATTTATTTGGACCTTGAAAATAATTTTAGGAATAGGGCAATCACATGTCATTGGACTTTCTTTCTTTCTTTCTTTCTTTCTTTCTTTTCTTTCTTTCTTTCTTTCTTTCTTTCTTTCTAGGTATGATAATAAAATTTAAAAATAAATATACAATTGATTAGTCCGTTTGAACTCTGCTAATTACAATATTAATTTTTTTAGTTTTCAATTAATAAATGATTAAATTTATTTAATTATGGTTATAAAATAATTTAAATAATAATAGTCAATTAAGCTTCAACTCTTATTGCTAAATTAATATTTATTGAGTGATATTGATATTCTATTTTCGACACAAAATTTGATTGCTAGCTGACATAGTGAAAATTTATATGTATTAATTAATTTAATCTAATATTTAAAATAGTATTCATTGAATAAATATATAGGTAGTCTTATTAATTTTTAAATAATAAAATTAAATCTTTATTTTACTTAATAGAATTATGTTAATTGTGTTGTTTATTCAAATTTGTGAAATAATTTATTTAAATGTTTTTTTTACATATTGTGTTGTTTATTCAAATTTGTGAAATAATTTATTGAGTTACATATACCAGTTGATTGAAATGTTTTAGTATATATACCAGTTGATTATTATACATATTATTATTATTATTATTTGATTTTTAAAAGTAGGAATAAAATTTAATATAAAACAAAAAAATAATTTGTTAAATTCTTGTTTCTTTTATGGCGCCCCGGTACGTTTTTGTAAAAAAAAAAAGAAGAAAATATATAAAATTTGCCTAAAATTAAAAAAAAAGTAAAAATTAATTTAAATTCGAAGGACATGACTTGTTTTTTAAAAAAATATATATATAGTCAAATATTATTCACTACCTTATCTATTGATATGACTACCTATTGTGATGACTACCTATTGTGATGACTACCTATTGTGATGACTACCTATTGTGATGACTACCTATTGTGATGACTACCTATTGTGATGACTACCTATTGTGATGACTACCTATTGTGATGACTACCTATTGTGATGACTACCTATTGTGATGACTACCTATTGTGATGACTACTTAATCTATGGAGATGACTGCTTAACCTATGGAGATGACTACCTATTAAGATGACTACCTTATCTATTGTGACTGCCTAATCTATTGATATGACCAGTGCCTAATCTACTGAGATGACTATCTAATCTATGGAGATGACCAAGAATCAAACCTTAGCACGTTCTTTCATGCAAAAAGCTTCTTTCTTCATGGTGTCCTGGCTCTGGATGTTGGACTGGAATGGATAACCAGCACCTAACCTAATGTGACAACCTAGAAAGAACCAATATGGAAGTTGAACGTTAGGTTATGAATTCTATATTCCAATGATGATTACTTATTATTCTAATCCACGTAAGAAGAAAAGTTATTATAAATTAAAATTTTATGCCGAGATAAAGGCATGTTGTAAATTTACTTATTAAAATAACTTAAATGTAAATCAGTAATTGACATATTTGAACACATAAAAAGCCTTAAAAAAATTATTTACTTAATTTTTTAGTGAAATATTGATATTTTTTTGATTTCTTTATGATGACCAATTGTTGTAAATTAACTAAACCTAAAGATGAATTTTTAGATATAATTAAAAATAAACCATTAAAAATCCTAAACAAGAAGATAAAACTTTAATTTTAAATATATTAAAATGTAATTAAAACATGAATTAAAAGGTTTAAATCACATGATAGATTTAAATAACCCTTATAAGTAATACTTAATATGATAAAAATGTTTTTGAAATAAAGCTTTTGAAGACAAGTTATGTAACATCTTCATTTTAGATAAGTATTTAAATGATGTGTTGAGATCATTTTCTAAAAATTATCTTATGAAGAATTTTTATTAAAAATAACACTTTTTGAATTAAAACTAGGGTGTGAAATTTAAATTTTTTATTTAAAGAGAGGGAAATGTGAATAATATTTTATTTGCATATTTAAACCTCGGAGATTGAAAATAAATAAAAATAAATTAAATATTAAAACGCAACTTAAATTATTAAAATAAAACGCTAGAAATAAAATATTAAAACGCTACTTAAATTATTAAAATAAAATATATAAAACGCAAAATTTAAAAAAAAGACGCGAAATTTTATATAATCTTTTTTGATTTATCATTCTTACGGAATTCTACATATTTATCATTCCATACTCCAAAATTTTTATTCCAAATTCTTTTTTCCTAATTTAAAATTTTATTCCGTATTCCATATATTCAAATTTGATCAATTATTCCTTATGATAATGATAAAGTACAACAATTTTAACAAACCTACGAAAACGTATGGACTCACGCGACTCAGACAGACTTATGCGCCCACCGAGCAGCAACTTGATGCTTTGTCGAGGAGGGGAATGTTAATTGTGTTGTTTATTCAAATTTGTGAAATAATTTATTTAAATGTTTTTTTTACATATTGTGTTGTTTATTCAAATTTGTGAAATAATTTATTGAGTTACATATACCAGTTGATTGAAATGTTTTAGTATATATACCAGTTGATTATTATACATATTATTTGAAAAGGTTGCAGAAATCAAAGGCAGAAAACAAATGTTATAAACGTATATTACGTCAATTTATTGATATTTAAATTTAAAAAATATAATGATCACATAATTCAAAATAGTTTCCTATATATATTGACAATTTAATTTAATGTAATTTATAATAAATTGATCTTTTTTTAAAAGTTAAAAATAAAAAATTGAACATTAGTTTATTAAGTAAATTGATTTATAAAATATAAAATTTAATATTAGTTTATAAACAAATTGATTTAAAATATAAAAGTTGTTTTTATAAAATTTAAAGTTTAATATTAA